CAATACAATGTTTACTATTTTTTGGATGAATGACCGGAACAGAAAAGTTGAACGTTAGAATAAATGAAGACATGCGCACAACTTGTGTCGCCTGTTGCTTCAGTTACAACCACAAACTCACGCAATTAACAATTTCCAATTTTGAAAAATAATTTAAAAAAAAATAATAACAATTATAATTTTATTAAAATTTTTAAAAAGTTTTTTTTAATGAATTTTCATTTTTTAACTTTCATTTTTAATTTTCATTGTTTTATTATAATTGTTTCGTTTTAATTTCATAAATTCAATTTTTCTTTAGTTTTAATTTTAATTGTTAATTTTAATTAATGTAATACTTTTTCTTTTAATATTTCGTAGTTTTAATGTTTATGTTTTATTTTCTGTTAGTTTTCGTTTCATTTCCAAATAGCGTTTGTAAAAATAATTTTCGTTGTACATAAACAAGTTGATTAAAATCAATAAATAAAAAAATACTTAAAATATTCTTCAAAAGTATTTTTATAATGATAATTATCAATCGCTTAAAATTTAATGTTCAATCTTTTTTTTATTTATTTAGAAAATATTTCGTTTTTACATGTTAATTTTTTTCTGTATTGTTTATTTTAATTTTTATATATTTTGTTATTATTATTATTATTATTATTGTTATTATTATTATTATTATTATTACCTATTTTATTTTATAATTTTTTTATTTTAATTTCTATTATCTTGCAGCAATTATTATTTTTTTCTTTTTAAACATTGATCTTAATTATAATTAATCTTCAAGTAATCAGAACAATTATTATTTCAATGGGATGCGGAAATTTTGCAATATGTCAACGGAATATTTGTTGCCGTTGATTTATTTAAATTCTTGGCAAACAATTTACTTGTTTAAAATTTAAAATAAGTAGAGAAAAGAAAAATAGAAATTGGCAGTAAACATTGAAAATATCTCTAAATATGGCTTCAATTTTTTTATATCAGTAGAAATTGTAAATATTATTGTTGACTTCGCACGTTTTATGCGACAATTTTAATTGGTGATTTATTCACTTTTGAGAATTTTGAACAAATGTATTTTTATCAAACAACAAAAGTGTAGAAAAAATAATGAAAAAATATTTAAAAAATGAATATAAAAATATAGAAAAAATAAAAAAAAATAGAGTAAGAATAATAAAAAGAAATATGTAAAAAATATATAAGTTTTTAAAAACAAAAAAGGAAAAAAGTTTTTAGTGGTATTTTAAATATTCGCGAAGTATTCGAAAGCTAAAAATACAAATTAAAAACTTTGTTTAAAAAAACAATTTCCTCTTGAGGTAATTTTTACTTTTGTGCTAAAATCATTTGCCAGTTTATTCAAGAATAATTATAATAATAAAAATAACTTAATTCGAGCCAACAAAATTTTAAAGTTTAAGTTACAAATTAAACAAATTTTCTAATAGTAATATTTGATCCCTTAAAGTAATTTTTATCATCCTGCTAAAATTACTCAAGTACCGGTAGTTTAATTTAAACTTAAAATTACAAAATTGAAGAAAAAATTTCTGTAACAGAAAAATTTGCTTCTCAAAATAATTTTTATTTTCGTACTAAAATTACATGATCGAGTCCACCTGGAATTTTCCATCTGGAACCGCGGAAAAATTTTTAGGAAAAAAAGAATTTATTTTAATTAAAAATTCTCTTTTGAAAGAGAAATTGAATAAGAAAAATAATTAAAAAAATAAATAATAATTTCAAAAGAAAATTAGTTTATTTTATAAAAACAGTGGATTTTGAAAGAGAAATTGAATAAGAAAAATAATTGAAAAAATAAATTGATATTAAAAAAATAAATAATTGTTTCAAAGGAAAATTAGTTTATTTTGTGAAAACAGGGGATTTAGAAAAATTAGTAATTTGATAGGAAGAAAAAGGAAAAAAAATGTTTGTTTAAATACTGATCGATATTTAATTTAGCCGATCCAGCGTTCGCATTTTAAATGGCACCTTAATTTGATACTTGCACAACATAGGACGCACAAGAATAGAACGTTGACGAGAGCTCCGATAGCTGCTCTCTCTCTCACACACAGAAAAAAAAAAAAGAACGTAACTCACCTCCGAGAAAAGGAAATGGGAATTCACTGCCGTCAAAAGCCGGTATAGTTGTCAATTACGGGAATTTCGAATGGGGGAGGTTGTGAGCGCGCGCGGGAAAATGACGATTCACAGAGAGGGTCGGAAGACAGATTCAAAAGTTGTCCTCCTCCTGAATCGTTTGGTCACTTTGCGTGGAAAACCCGCGAATAAATCGAGACGGTAAGAAGCCAGTCGGCGGCTATCTCGAGACTGCTACTAATGCTAGGCGTAAGGCGTCGCGACGCCTCTTCATCGGTTTTTCGTTGTTAGCTCGCGCTTTCATCGTTATGTTGCAGATCACCATCTAACATGAGAAAGCAATCCATCGAACAGTCATCATCTCTTTCCACAGCAGCCTTGACATTTTTTTTTTTTTTTTTTTTGAGTTGCTTTTAGGATACACGAACATTGACAGAGAAATAAAAATTTTGTGACCTTCGAGATTACAGAAATAAAGGGGAATTTTTCTTTTTTATTTTATGTAATAAGAGATTAGAGACGAGAAGACTAAATAAACTTGCACTGACAGAAACTTCTGGGTATTTTTGGCAGTTTTTTAATATTTTTGGGGTCGCAGTTTTTCTGCAGATATCAAATTGAGACAAAAAGTGAATCAAAACGTTGCTTTGCAACACTTTTGATTCGTTTTTTGTCTCAATTTGATTATCTGCAGAAAAACTGGTAACAGTTGCTACTATCGAAGTAAACATTAGTTCGAGCGTAGCAAAATTCACTTTGAAAATATTAAAAGTTGACAGAAATTAGCGCAGAAGTTCCAAACAGTTTTGGTTTTACTTTGTAAATAGTAAAAGTTAGGGCTTAGGGTAGACTGGGGCTAAACGTCATATTTTGCATAACTGATTTTTTTAGACAATAAATCCGCTTAGATGCAAATATGTATAGATCAACATTGTAGGCCAACTTGTTCTCAACAACTTTCAATAAAAAAGTTTCTGATATTTTCACGTAAAATATATGTTTTGCCCTTGTTTGAAAATTTGGTTTTTTTTTACATTTAGCCCCATGCTAAATGCTACTATTTTCTTATAGGTATTAAGTAGTAGATGAGTTAAAGTATACGTAAAACAAGTAATTTAGTGAATAAAATAACTGTATTTATTTAATAATAGCTTTAGAACAATTATAAAGTTAATAAATTAAAATTAAAAAAAGAAAAACATTTTTTGGGTTCATTTTACGTGAGCGGCTTTGTTTTTTGACAGAGTACTTGCCTAAAGTCAAATAAATAATTTTTAAACAAATAAACCCGAAAAAAACGAAAAATATAGAAAACAAAACAAACATGGAAAAAATACATGGAAAATTTAGCCCCAGGGTGCGTTTTTGGCTTTAACAACAAATATACAAAATCTGACTAAGAGTATTTAGCAAATAACTTTAGGTACATCTTTAGGGGACCCAAATAGGTTAAAATACTTTTGGCGTAGAGAATAAATCCAAAAAATATACTTAAAAGTTGAAATTTTGTTTTACTTAAAAATTTACAAATGTATAGGGTCACACTTCATATTATGGACACCACAAAAATGAACAGAATGTCACATAACTTCGGACATTTATTTAGAGTGATAACACCCTTCTATAATCAAAATTGCAATGCTCTAACTATTTCCGGTCGAAAGACAATGAATTTTAACTGTTTTGAGTTTTGACAGATTGACATTTAGCTCCAGTCTCCCCTACTGTATATTTTTCTCCGTGTAGTCAGCATCCCTAGCCGAAAATCATCAGAAAATCGCAAATTGAAAAATCAAATCAGGAAATGTTCATTTTTGAGTTTATCAGATTTAATCACTTGTAAAAAAAATTAATTGCTTAGAAACTAATTTTATTACTCGATGGTAAATGTTCCTAGATTGTTTATTTAACTATATAAAAGAATATTTTTTGAAAAATGAAAAATATGATTGCAAAAATTAATAGCTAGTAGTTTCAAACGAATATCAGCAGCCAATTTTTGTTTTGGTCATTTTTCAGTTAATTAGAATTAAATCAGTTGTAGGAAATTTAATTGTTAATAAAGAATTCTTTTTATTCACTGGATCATGTTTCTAAATTGTTTATTTAAAGTTTTCTGCTGAATAAAAAAATTTTCTGTAAAAATTAATAGGCTAGCAATCCCAGCCGAATATCAGCAGACAATCGTTTTTTGCTAGGCTTCTTTTGAGTTTCGGGATTTCCAAATCAACGGTTACCATAGCAACTGTGTCTATGTCAACCATTGTTAAGGTCGTAGCTATTAATGTGTTAAAGTATTAGTAGTGTTTATAAAGAAATTTTTGGAAATGTCCGTAGGGTTTAAAATTGTTTTTGTTATTTATTTTTTTTTTATTCTTTTAAGCCACGAAACCCTATTTCTTTATTGATTGGATCATGTTCTAGGAATGTTTATTTATGTCACCTGCAAAATTAAAAATGTTTTTCACAAAAATTAATATTCAGCAGTTCCAGCCGAATATCAGCAGACAATATAGTTTTTGCTGTTTTTGACTTTATCGGACTTAACCAGTTGTAGAAAATTTAATTGTAAATAAACAATTTTTTTAATTCAATAGAACATGTTCTGAGTTTGTTCTTTTAACATTTTCCGACAAGTAAAAATTTTTTTTGCAAATGTTAATAGCCGGCATCGTCAGCCGAAAATCAGCGGACAATCATTTTGTGCTTATTTTCAAGTTTATCAGATTTAAAGATTCAATCAGTTGCCAAAAAATCACATGTTAATAAACATTTGTTTATTTACTGGAACATGTTTCCAGATTGTTTTATTTATAATTATTTCAGGAATATAAAAATAAATATACATATAATCTTTAAATAATCAATGTATGTATAAATGTTTGTTATTTTTTCAGGTGTCGCAACAAAAAGGAGTCTTCCGCAGTACTTCGTTCCGTTGAACTATTTTTGATGAAGCCACAAATTTTTAAAATTTGCGAATATTATAAATCTTAGCTTCGGGAGTGTTTCGTACTTTTCTTAAAACCGCGAACAATTGTAGGGTGTATCTTTATAAATATGTTTTTAAAAAATAATATTAATTTTATTTGAATATCGTCTCGTGATTCCGGGAGTGCTCGAAATTTTCTAAAATCGAAACTATTATTTCGTGAGTGTTCAATCAAAATTCTAAAATCGAGTGTGTTTGTGCCATTTCCAATGTGGAGGACATTGAGTACAGCGTCAGAATGGTGGTCGTGCGTTGGACAAAAGGATTTGATAGTAAGATTTTTAATATTTTTTTAATCTAAATATTAACACCGTTTGATGGGAAAGGGAGTGTGTCAAGCTATTGTCTACGATAAGAGGAAAAAAAGATTAATTTTTTTTGTTTTTTAAAAAATAAATCTTTTTTCTTTTTATTTTATTTTGCCAAAAATATTTTTTAAAAAATTAACAGTGTGCTCCATTGCGAGAAGTGGGGGTTGAAAGTTTCCAAAAAGGGGACCCCAGGGAAATAATAATGTAACTTTCCCCCCTAATTTTTAATTATTTCATTTCACTACAGTCGAACCTGTCGGAATGCAACTCTATTTGTAAAATTTTTTTGCATTCAAAAATGTCACAAGAAGGGGGGGGGTGGAATTAATTTTTTGTGACGTTCTGTAGAAAAAATGGCGCCAAAGTATGTAAAATTTGTGGGGGGGGGGTGTGGAAAAATTGTGCAAAATAGTGTGACGTAGTTTATAGACGGCCCCTCCATAAATTACGTAAGACATTTTGGGAGGAGGGGTGGGTCTGCTAAATCTTACGAACCGTAGAAAAAATGGCGCTAATGTATGTAAAAAATCTGACAAAGGGGGGTGGGTGGTCAAATTTTCCAAAAAAGTGACTTACGTAATTTATGGACAGCCCCTTACTGTAATAAAATTTAAAAAATCGAGTTGCATTCCGACAGCTTTTACTGTATAATAATGTTAGTAATATTTTTTTATATTTAATTAACTAAAAAAATTATAAATAAAAATTATTTCATGTTTTCTTTTCTAATGTTTCAGGCAGATTGAGAGCGTGGAGAAAACGAGATGATGTCAAACGCATCGTCGAGAGTATATCTGCGACCGGCAAGTCGAGTATTTTTTCTAGTATAACATAGCGACACATCGTCGACTCAGTGGAAATCTATAAAATTTTATATAACTGTTAGAAATTGCTATTTTATGTTTATAAATAAACATAAATTTTATGTTGTACTTTTATTCAAATAGAATGTATAAAACATACCAAGTCGGAGATTTTTGCGTACAGATATTGTCAGAAATGGTGTGTTTTGTATTTTTTAGGTGAATATAGTTCTATATTAATTAATAAAATAGTTTTGTAAACTTCGTTACAAAACGAAAGGGTTTCCACTGAGCAGACGACATTTAAATTCATTGGGAGGGGAGAGTGGTTGCGTTTATTCCGATTTCCCTGGTTCTGCAGATATATTGAGTCTAAAGGCCCTTTAATAAAGGACAAACAAACAGGACGTTATCAATGGAATAAATACATTTATGCACAGCATATATACATATGTATTAGGGTGGTCCTTAAAAAGGTTTTTTTCAAATTTCTTTGCTCCCAGGGGCTTAAATGCTTCCAAATTAATAAAAAAAAATTTCCTGAAAATTTGTGCTCTTAATATTAACTTTTAGATAGGGTAAGTGTGCCAATTATGGCGCGGTTCTGGTTTAGCCGTCTTTGAAATAGAAAATTCAAAAATTATAATGAAAGAAGTAAATTTATGGCTTATTAAACTAAAAGCCCGTGTCATATAGATAATAAAACTTTTATAAAAACTTTATAAAAATTAATTATTTAAACAAAATTAAAGCAATAAGAATTAGGATTAAAAACGTCAATTATGGCGCGGTTGAGTCAATTTCGGCGCGCCAATTACGGCGGGGAAAATAACGTGTATTTAGGGGTCGTTCCAGAATGAGCTAAAACGCAACGAAGACGCGACGCGTCCCAATGCTAATCAAATGGAGACGCGTCGCGTCTTCGTTGCGTTTTGACTCATTCTGGAACGACCCTAGAGGTTGTGTTGCGCGCCATAACTGGAGCACGCACATTCAATGAAAATGTGCCAATTATGGCGGGGCACAATTTTTGTACTTAAATAATTAAACCAATAATAGTTCAAATGTGTTTTTTTTCGTACAGTTATATCGAGTAAGGTCGAAAATAACTTTTTCTATCATTTTCAAATAACTATATTATTCTAAAATAGTAAATAATTCTATTTTTTACAAAGTCGCCATAATTGGAGCACCCGCCACAATTGACACACTTACCCTAGTCCGCACTCAAACTTAAGTTTAAAAAAAAATTTTTTTTTATTTTTTTATTTTTTATTAATTTATTTTTGATAAAATTTGGAAGGTGAATCAATACTGAGGTGTATTACGGTCACAAACACCTAAAATCAGACAAAGGGATCTTCAAAAATATCGAAACAAATATTTTTAGCAATTTTTTAATTTTTGAAAAAAATCGATTTTTCCTTTTAGTACTCTTTGAAATGAGCTACCTTGATTCTTTTCAAATTTTTTCATAAAGCGGTCAAAAATTGATCAAATTGGACGTTTTTATAATGAAAAGTTGTGTTTTCACGCGTAGTTTTCAATAACAATATTTTAACAAATTTTTCGTGGGCAAACGATGGGATCTATTTATTTAAAAAATTTTAATTTTTACATACACAGTGAAAACGGTAGGCCCAACTTGTCATTTGACCAAATCACAATTTTACACGGAAAGAAGGTTAAGTTTGGAGAGACTGAATCTGAAATCACACAGAAAAAAATGCGAATGGTAAAAACAACCACATTTGTGTAGTTAGAAAAAAAGTAGTTAAAACTACCATATTCAGCAGCATTTTAACTACACTTCCTCAGTTAGTGGAACCAAAATGAAGTAGTTGGTTTTATGTAGTTAAAATAACTACTTTACATAGTTGAAATAACTAACAGATGCTTGTAAATGGCTCAACTATAGTGTAGTAGTAAAAACTATTGTTAAAAATAGTTAATTTTACTATTGTGGTAGCAAAAATAACTATTTTGTATTGGTTGCAAACAAAATGAGACTTTCTGTTTTTATATAGTAAATACAACCTCTGAAAGTTGTTACTTTTATGATTTATGTAGTTAAAACAACTATTTCTTACTAGTTGCAGAGAAAGAAAGAAATTTACTGTTTTCATATAGTAAAATCAATTGTTGAAAATAGTTATTTTTACTATTTATGCAGTTGAAAAGATCATTTTTTTCTACAGAGAAAAAACGTGAGTGGTAAAAACATCCACATATGTGCAGTTAAAAAGAAATAGTTAAAACTACCATATTCAGCAGCATTTCAACTAAACTTCCATAGTTAGTGGAACTAAAATTGAATAGTAGGTTTTATGTAGTTAAAATTACTACTACACGTTATGATTGTAAATAACTCAACAATAGTGCAGTAGTTAAAAGTACTGTTAAAAATAGTTATTTTCGGAATTTCTGCAGTAGAAATATCCATTTCTTGCTATTTGCAAAATAAATTAAAATTTACTGTTCCAAAGAGTAAAAACAACCGCTGGAGTTTGTTATTTTTGTGTTTAATGTAGTTAAAAGAACCAATTCTTACTAGCTTTTAATAATTTATCTCTATGGTGGTAAGAAACATTTATTTTTATAATTACAAAAGTCATAAAAGTAACAATTTTTATGTTATTTTTACTATATGAAAATAGTAAGTTTAATTTTTTTATAACTAGTAAAAAGTGGATAATTTTACTACAGAAATTCTGAAAATAACTATTTTCAACAGTACTTTTAACTACTGCACTATCGTTGAGTCATTTAAAATCATATGCTGGCTACATTTCAACTAAGTCCTTGAGCTTAAAAAATTAGTTACTGCAACTAAACGGAGTAGTTATTATGACTGAATCTAAGAAGAATGTCCTCAAGTACAATGCCAGTCATCGTAGCGTGCGAGCGTGGTTAGGTGGTTAGGTTATCGGTTTGCGAATGTTAGGGTCGTGCGTTCAATCCCCGGCGTTTGGGGATTTTTCTCTGTTAGGTGTATAAGAATTTAATATATAAATTATATATGAACAAAAATAGGTAAGAGAAAATGTAAAAAAATGGACCTCAATAATAATAAAAAACAAATAAATAATTTCATTTTACTACTTTAAATAGTTAATTTAACTATTTCTTACAGTTGTTACAACTACAATTTGTTACGGGCGCCTATAGGAACTATGAAAATTTAGTTACTGCAACTAAATGAAGCAGTTAGTATGACTAACAACAAATAGTTAAGATAACTGTTTTAGTAGTTAAATTTACTGTAAAAATGGTATTTATTACTACATTTTACAGTTAGACTAACTATTCTGTCATAGTTCATTTTACTAAATAATGTTACGGGCGCCTATAGGAACTACAGGAAATAGTAAAAAAGTAGTCAAATTTACCATATTTTTTTTTTGTGTGCACATTTGCTGTGAAAAATTTGTGTGATTTTGTCAAATGGCAAGTTAGTCATTTGGCCACAACTGCGTATATAAAAATTAACAATTTCAACATAAATAGATCCCATCGTTTGACCAGGATTGTACAAGGCTTAAAAATGGTTAATTTAGTGCTAGTTTCTTAAAAAAAATTTTGAAAAAATTGATCGATAGATACATTGCTAAAAATGAATTTTTATTTTAAAAATTTAAAAATCTTATCGTAAATTATTTAAATTTTTTTTAAATTTTCATTATAAAAACGTCCAACAATTTGATCAATTTTTGACCGAGTTATAAGCATTAAAAAAAAAAATTTACGTAAAAAACGTTATTTTTCAAAAATCTGTATCTCCTGAACCGCTTTATGAAAAAATTTGAAAAAAATCAAGATAGCTCATTTCAAAGAGAACTAAAAGAAAAAAATGTTTAAAAAAAATTTAAGATGCAAAAACAAAATAATTTCCGATTTGGCCTAGAATGCCCCATACATTAATCGATTTGTTTTCATGTCAGAAATGTAATTTTGACAAGAATTAATGAAAATATTAATAGATAAAAAAGTTATTTAAAAAAATACAAAAATCGATTTTTTTCAAAAATTAAAAAATTGCTAAAAAATATTTGTTTCGATATTTTTGAAGATCCTTTTGTCTTATTTTAGGTGTTTGTGACCGTAATACACCTCAGTATTGATTTACCTTCCAAATTTTATCAA